ATAATTGGGTTTTAGGGTATGTAGAACCCCAGAAAAAGCGCACAGCTGTTCTATCTTTCATTCCTCCCTCCCTCTCTCCCAACCACCCACCCTTCCTCCCTCCGTCCTTTCCTCCTGCCCTCCTTCCCTCCTTCTCTCTTCCTTCCTTCCTACCTTCCTTCCTTCCTTCCTTCCTTCCTTCCTTCCTTCCTTCCTTCCTTCCTCCCTCCCTCCCTCCCTCCCTTCTTTCCTTCCTTCTTTCCTTTCCACACACCTGTTGAGCTTGTTCAGCTGTACATTGGCATTAGTATGGGTTTGGTTGTAGGCCACTGCTGTGAAGCAAATATCAAAAGAAAGTGAGTTGTAAAGTTTTTGGTTTCCCAGTATGTAAAAGTCATGTTTACACTATTTTGTAGTCTGTTAAATGTGCAGTAGCATTATGTTTTTAAAGATGTACATGCCTCAACTAAAAATACTGTATTACTACAAGAGACTAATGATTATTGAGCTGTTGGAAAAATGGCACTGCTCAACATGGGGTTGCCATAAATTTCTGATTTATGTTTTTTAAAAAAACCCCACTATCTGCAAAGCATGATAAAGTAGAATACTGTAGAATGAAGCCTGCTGGGCGAGGAGCTCTGCTTGGTGGGGTAGAGGGTGCTGACGGTACAGAGCTGTCCTGTCTCATTGAGAACATTGTGGTGTTAGGTCGTGTATTCACGCCATGGAGTTGGGAAGAAGGGTATGTCTCATCCTATTGGGAAAGATATCAAGGAAATGTCTAATGAGGTAGGGGTTCTTAACTTGAGCCTTACAGTATTTTTTTACATGCCTAGTAGCAATAGCATAAGGTAGGAAGGGTTAAGTCATAATGAAATGTTTTCTAGTCACGTTTGAGTAATTTGAGAATAGATAATCCAACTAGGAGGGGTGATGGAAACATAGTGATTGTTTTCAGCATGCATTACTGTAAAGGACACATTGCTGTTCATCTCCCCCTATCTTTTTCTGAAGCATTTCTGCAAATCGTCTCTCTTCATGTCCTAAAGAAGTGTGGTCAAAAATACAGTGAATGCTGCTGTCCAGTGCCATTCAGCAGAACCACAGGATGGCAAAAGCATTACAATGTGTCCTTACGTTTTTCACTGTAGGACTTTTGACCCTTTTTACAGTTAAAAGGACTACAATACATTAACCTTTGAATTGGATTCAGGCAGACATGAAAAAGGACTTCGGCTGCTTCTGAAAGTGGCAAGAATGATGGGATCAGTGTCTTGGAGGGGGAGAGTTTTAAGGGGGATTAAAGGCAGTGTGTCTTTTATGGTAATAAAATTTTTTAAATTTAAATATTCACTGTATTTTTAATCATGCTGCATCCATGTATCTGTCCAAAGTCAGTATTCTACATGGTGATGTTCCTTTAACCTCTACCATTTTGACAAATTTCACATAAATCCATGAAAAATGATCAGATCTTATGAAAATTCTGGTAACTGCCATTTGATTTCAAGAAGGCAGGCCAAACCACACATCTAATGATAAATTATTCTCTGTTTAAGTATATTAGACTTAGTGAAAGTCATTTACTTAGAAACTGACTCAGGAACAAATAGCTGACTATTCAGATACTTAGAATAGAGTTTGTACTTGTTTTTCTCGATTGTTTCTTTGACTCAGAGATTGTTAGGAAACGATACAAGCGTAGTTGCATTCACTCTGAATCATAGATATACTTAAGTTTTTATTTGTTTGTGGGGGGCTATTTTCCTTACCAAGAGTTCCCAAACATGTCAAAACTTCATGGCTGAGAAGTCATTTATTAATATGTCACTGCTGATATTTTACCAGTGTGGGTTTAATTCTGGGCTGTTTCTTGGTTGTTGATAGGAACACAGAATGCTCTACTTTTCAGCCATTTGGATTGTTGTTCACATATAGAGGTGGTTTGGAGCTAGTTCATTGTCATTGATGCATTTGATGCCATTGATGAATTGAAGCTGGAGCAATGCCTTACCTGGTGCAGGGACCAGGAGATTTGGGAACTCTGTGTACCAGGTACACAGAGTTATAGGGCATAGGATGCACACAGGAGCTGCAGGTAATGCAAGGGGAGGCAGTCCCTATAACCAGCACTGTCCTCCAAAATCTTGGTCATTGTCAGTGAAGCTAACCCCACAGCATCCCTCTGACTAATGCATGTTCTCTTTAGGACCTCATCGCATTGCTGTTTCCAGCAGGGAACCCCTTAGACAATGAAGCTAGATTTTGGGAGGCTGAGGGAGCCACAATGAGCCCACGAGGGACGGGCCCACATTGCTATTTGCAGATGTGGCAGAGTCTGCTTGTCTTTATTCCATGTGATTCCTCTAGTCATTCTTCAAAAAGACGCAGTGGTTGCTGAGAGCAGTACTCGCTGTTTTGTTCCAAATTGACCATAGGGGTAGAGTCTGGCAGATATTTCCTCTTGACCATATCAGCAGACTGTGCTCCCTGGTCTTTTAAAGCAATACAGATTGCCGAATGAATCCGCTCTGGCCACCCAGAGTTGAGTCATTTAGAAAAAGACAATCCTTTTGGCTTTTTGCTGCTTCATTTCTAGGAAAGCATATTCCGGGAGAGTGCTCAGCCCCTTGTTTTCCCCATTGGAGATAAGAGTCTAACTTCCTGAAGGCTGCCTTTTACTGAGATAGGGCTTGCAAGCTCATGTGCCTGTAGGGTCTGAGTGGTGGAACAAGGATGTGGGAATGAGGTCCATTTCCTTAGCCCTGTCTTGGTGTTGCCAGCGTTACTAGGTCTTGTATTTTTTTTCAAGAAGAGCCAGAAATTTGGATTTTTATATGAAAACTTTTCTTTTTAAAATACTGTTTTTCAAAACCAGCATGGTCTATCCCAAGCCATAGGCTGTTATGTTACAATCTTTAACATTTCTAGGTGATGCCCCCTCTGTGGAGTTAATCATGTCATGTGCCTTTCGAGTGTTCGGTTCTTCCTTTGACACACAGCAATCTTCTTCTTCAACGCACAAGCAATCAACCTTCTCGGATCCTCCTGTGATTGTTTTAAGTATGTCAGCCCACCTCCCTCCTTTTAGATCATCTTTCATCTCTGGATTCATATTTCTTTGAGTGCTAGTAGGCGTTACTCAATGTGCTTTTTTTGTAGAGTCAAAAGAAAACCATAAATTCATTTCAAGATGGAGCTCTCTTTGGTTTTCTTATTTGCCAATACAAAAAAAAAAAAAAAAAAAAA